CAGAGCGGGGACCACTGGCCTCCTCACACCCCGGCCCGCAGAGCGGGGACCACTGGCCTCCTCACACCCCGGCCCACAGAGCGGCATAGTCCTCACCTTACAGTGGGGAGACAGGTGTGGAGGCCGCTGCTTGCCAGACTTGCCCTGGGGTTTTCTTTCGCTGTGCAGATTCTTTTGGTTTGTCTGAGAGTGGATGTGAGTACAGGTGTGCTCAGAGGTTTGCTGTCTTCTGGGAGCTGAGTTAAGAGGTGGCCGTGAGCCACCAGGAGCCCAGCTGGGACCCTCTGCAGGAACATCAAGTATTCTTAACTCCCGAGCCATTTCCCCAGTCCCCATAGTGTGACATTTGAGGGCAGTTGTGGTGGCCTGGGGTAAAACACTTGCTTAATTTGAGGACTGGGTTCCAGATTGAGGTAACCACAGGGGGAGAAGGTTGTTGAGGTGTCCATAGATTAGTAAATCAGTCTCCATTGCTGTGACAAGCGTGTGAGAGAGACCAATCAACAAGAGGAAGGTTGGTGTGGCTCAGAGTCTGCCTGGCTTCTCTGCTGCCTTAACCTCTAACGAGGTGGAAGCATCATGGTAAAGAGAGAGGAGCATAGGCAAGACACCCCCAGAGGTACAACCCCAGGTCCCCCCCCACCCAATCAGACCCCACCTGCCCTACTTCCCAATAATACCAGTTAGGAGGCCATCATTAGGTCAGTATCCAGGAGGCCTCATGGTCCATTCACCTTGAGTGATTGGCTCTACCAACTAGGACCGGAGCATCCAGACTCTAGCACTGCCCTAACTTGCCTTCTTTTGCTGTGATAAGCACCGTAACCACAAGCAACTTGGGGAGGACAGGGTTCATTTAGCCTTCAGGTCCGTCCTGGGGCATCAGGACAGGAACTCTGTGTAGGAGCTGACACAGGCACGGAGGGATGCTGTTTCCTGGCTTGCTCAGCCTGCCTTCTGCAACCCAGGACCATCTGTCCAGGGGTAGTGCCACCCACAGTGAGCTGGGCTCCTCATCGAGGTTCCTCTTCCTAGACGACACTCACCTGTGTCAAGGTGACAGACACCACACACACACACACGAGCACAAGCATTGTGACACAAACAAACTAGGGGACTTGGGAGGCCAGAGGGAGCCCAGGGTGTGGGTGGGTGGCACTGTGGTGGGTGGGGCTCTGGCCGTGGGGTCTTTGAGTACCGAGTTGAGCTTCCCAGCCTTCAGGAAGAGAGTCTGACCTGATGAGGTGTGTGCTGGCCGACTGGGTCTTGCCTCAGATGGTGCTTGAGGGACCTCCAGAGCTTCACCATGCACCCGTGAGAGCGGAGGTGACACCCAGCCGGCCCCCAAAAGCTCCTGTCTAGAGAGTGTCTGCCTCTCCACACAGTCCTAGTGTTGATGCCCCAAGAGAGGGCCGAGGCTCCCGGGTGGGAGGGGCAAGAGTGGTCACCTTTGGGTTTGGGAAGGTCATTATCCAGATCAGCACTGAGAGTGAGCCTGGACAGTGAGCAGCCAGCATGCTCAGAGGCCCTGGGCTCAGCAGGAGGGAGCCTGGCCAAAGAGAGACCCAGGCCCAGGACTAAGGAGCCTCGAAGCCTGGGGCTGGTGCCCATGCTCTGGTTGACTAAGGAGCAGGACAGGTAACAAGCTGTGTTCATGGGGGTAGGGGGTAGAATGTGGGGAGGGCTGTGGAGTGGAGCTGAGTGTTTGAGTGGCAGATGGTGAGGCCCCGGTACACTCTGAGCCTCACTCCAGGGAGACCTGACCCGGTGGTCAGGTCTGTGGGGAGCCCAGAACGGTGGTTCTGTTATCTCATTGCAGTCCTCTGGTGCTAACGTTGGCAGTGAGGGGGTCTTGGTTTGCCCAGTGGGAAACTAGGCAGGCTGGGGGACCCTCCAGCGGAGCTGTGAACCTTGGAGAGGAGGGTGGGTGTGTGCCCCGCTTGCTCCTCCTTTCCGAGGAGGCTGTTACGCTGGGGGCGGGGCTCGGGTGATTGGCAGGCCTGCCCACTGCCTGGCTCCTTTACAGCATCAGGAGCAGCACTCGGAGGGTCGCAGCGCGCCGTCCAGCGAGCCGCACCTCATCTTCGTGTACGAGGACCGGCAGATCCTGGAGGACGCGGCAGCGCTCATCAGCTACTACGTGAAGCGGCAGCCGGCCATCCAGAAGGAGGACCAGGGCACCATCCGCCAGCTGCTGCACCGCTTTCTGCCCAGCCTGTTCTTCTCGCAGCAGCGCCCCGGCGCCTCCGACGACTCTGCGGACGAGCGCGACCGCGACGGGGAGCCGGAGCGCAGGCGGCCGGCCGACGAGAAGCCCCCCGTGGATGCGCCCCCCGAGCCGCCCAAGGCCCTGGACGACGTGTACAGCCTGTTCTTCGCCAACAACAACTGGTACTTCTTCCTGCGGCTGCACCAGACGCTGTGCGCGCGCCTGCTGAAGATCTACCGGCAGGCGCAGAAGCAGCTGCTGGAGCATCGGCGGGAGCAGGAGCGCGAGCAGCTGCTGTGTGAGGGCCGCCGCGAGAAGGCCGCCGACCCTGCCATGGAGCTGCGCCTCAAGCAGCCCAGTGAGCGCTAGGGCCCAGGCCCGGGCTGCCCTCTGCCCCGTTAGGCCTCCTTGGTGGAGGGTGGAGGAGGACCCAGGGCCCTGGCCTCCCTCCCAAGTCCCTAGAGTCGGGGCGGTTCCCCCTGCCGGTGAGTGAAGCCGCCGACCCCTCCCCCAGGTGAGGTGGAGCTGGAGGAGTACTACCCGGCCTTCCTGGACATGGTGCGGAGCCTGCTGGAGGGGAGCATCGACCCCACGCAGTATGAGGACACCCTCCGGGAGATGTTCACCATCCATGCCTACATCGGCTTCACCATGGACAAGCTGGTGCAAAACATTGCTCGCCAGGTGAGGCTGGCTGGGGCAGGGCAGGCTCTGGAAACCCCTTATCTGTCCCTGACCACCGACTCTGTGCTTGCCACACCTGCTCACATAGCAAGTCTTCCCTTTTGTTTCCGAGGTGAAGTTCACAAAACAGATCAATGTCTCCAGGTTCATAACGTTTAGCACCGTGAACCATCTCTAAGGCAAAGCCCCACCCCCCAGCTGTCCAGCAAGCAGAATGAGCCCAGCACAGTGCGCCCTCTAGGGAAGAGTGTTGTTCCTGAGTTCAGTCAGTGCAGGAAGTGCATTAGAAAGCTGCTTCCTTCCAGGGCTTAGTGACCTTTCTTATTACATGTGTTTATTCCTTTACGTGTGTGTGTTTGGACACACAAGTGCCATGGTGTGTGTGTCAGGACGGCTTGGAGGACTTGGTTCTCTCCTTCCACTGTGGATCTGGGGATCGAACTCGGCTCAGGCCGGCAGGCTTGGCTGCAGGTTCCTTTCCCCACTGAGCCCCTCACTGGCCCCCAGGACTTCTCTGTTTTCCCATTTTGGTGCTGGGTATGGAAACAGAACCTTGTGTGTATTAGCAAGTACTCTCCACTCTGCCAGGCTCTGCCCCCAAGGACTTCTGAGGTTAGGCACACACACAAAGTGCCCAGGTCTCCAGAGGCCACTCAGTGGGTTTTCCCAAGCAAAACCTCCCCACCCTGATCCTGCACAGATGTTTCCAGCCATGTAGAAGCGGCTCATCTTAGCAGTGACCTCTGTCCCTTAGAGTGACCTGTCAGAGTGGCTGAGTCAGCTGCAGTGGCTCTGACCTGGTATGGGGCGGTAGTGCCTCCTAGTGGTGAGTGAGGCCACACCTAGGCTTTAAGGCTCACGGTGCATTCCCCCAGTGGCTTGTGCTCTGACCTCCTGTGACCTCCGGAACTATTTAGATGTTCTGTCCTGGGGGCCAGAGAGCCTGACTTACACCCATGTTGCTCTCCTGCCCCACCCTGACCATCGCGGCCCCGTCACGGCCCCGTCACGGCCAGTAGCTGTCATGGTCCCTGCACTGCTTCTCTTTAAGCACCTCGACTTTGCCTGTACGTTCCAGGAGTGAGTCTCTTCCTGGCCTTACCCACAGCAGTGGCCACTGCATGTGGGGAAACATGGCTTCCAGCCCCCCCCCCTTGTCAGGGCAGTCAGATGGGGCACAGTGGAGGGCCGTAGGCCCTGGAACCGCAGCCTCATTATTGTTGGCACTAGATGATTGGACCAGATCAGGCCCTTCGGTTAAAGTTTGTAAAGTAACTCCCAGGGCTGAGGAGCTGGCTCCCCGGATGAGAACGCTTGCCGTGTGAAAACCCCTAGCACCCTGTAGGAAGCTGGGGGCCAACACGCCCCTTGTCTAAGGGCTGTACTACGCTGTACACCAAAGCAAGTTGAGAGGAAAGGGTTCAGTTCAGCTTAGAGTTCCATGGAACAGTTCATCACCAAAAGCAGTCGGGACGGGAACTCACACGAGGCAGGAGCCTGGAGCTGATGCAGAGGCCATGGAGGGTGCTGCACTCAGCTTGTGTCAAATTGGCATAAAACTATCCAGCGTGCTTGTGTCCCCACGCTGTGGAGGACAGAAACAGGAGGGGGGCGGGGCTTGTTGGACATATGTGTTGTTCCAATCTAGATGGTCTTTTAATCAAAACCCAGAGCCAGATGTCAGGGCGAAAGCTGAAAGATCAGAGGAGCAGAGCAGCCAGCCACTAGTTCAACCTCTACGAAATCCTCAGCCTAAAGAGAGAGAGTTCCTGTTTCCTCACTCCTTATGGACCTTTCTCTGCCCTGCCACATTACTTCCTGGGATTAAAGGCGCGCGTGCGTGCGTGCGTGCTTCCCAGGCAAAGGCATGAGATCTCAAGTGCTGGGATTAAGGATGTGTGCCACCACTGCCTGCCCTCTGTGTCTGATCTAGAGGCTGGCTCTGCCTCTGATCCTCAGGCAAGTTTATTTGGGTACCCAGTGTATCACCACACATATGAATGGCTCCAGGTCCAGTAGGAGACCCCTTCTCAAGGGAATGAGATGAGAGTGTTAGAGCAGGACACCCACTGTCACCCCCCCTTCTCTGGCCTGCATGAGTGAATAGGTGTGCACACACACGAACTCTCTCCCTCTCTCTCTCTCTCTCTCTCTCTCTCTGTCTGTCTCTCTCTCTCTGTCTGTCTCTCTCTCTCTGCCTCCCTCTCTGCCTCCCTCTCTCTCTCTGCCTCTCTGTCTGTCTGTCTCTCTCTCTGCCTCC